TTTATTACTCACTTCAACCAAATGACAGTTCATGGGAATGAGAATGTAGAGCTTTTTGTTTCATTATGTAGAGAAAATGATGATAGGAAAATGAAAAGAAGTGGCATACCTGTGGAGCCAATTTCACATGATGAAGAAGAAATGGAAGGCAAAATTGAATTAGGGCTAAATGGAAATTGAAAGAGGATTTAGGATAACAATGTCTTTTTCTATACAAGGATATTTTAGTCATTTACAAATTGTATTTCTCATTTTATGTATCTTTAGGCCTTCTAACCAAAAAACAAAGTTGTTGGACTTTTTAAACAAAAAGTTGGTTTGACTTAGCCAATTAAATGAAACCCCTTGAATCAAATATTGCCCAGAAGAAGGGACATTGTTGCTCAAATAATAACTCTTTCTCATACTTATCAACGTCTGTATATAGAGCAGCAATGAGGCATCACAGTTCGGATCATCTCTGAAGAGCGTCGAGCAAGGCACTCGTGGTTCCTGCATAGAACTCAACACACAGTAAATGGCAAGAATACTTGACATTCAATAAACAAAAAAAGAAGCAAAAACAGAAACTATTGAATTGGTAGCATACACCAGCAGACGATTTAGGTAAAAATTGGGGCCAAGATTGGATCGATTATAGAAGTAATTGGAGCAACTGACTTCGGGATAAATTCCGATGCGATACCAACCGCGAGAGCGCTTTTGATGTGGAAAAAATAAAGGCATACAAGGGGAAGAAATTGGGAACCCTAATTGACAGTTCTAACGGATTATGAATTTGTGAAGGTAGAAGAGGCGTGAATGGATGGGATGTTGTTGGAGAGGAATGAATGGGGGTTCTTTTAAAATTGGCCAAGTCAAAGGGAGGAATTCCAACTTTGACTTTTTCACTTTTGAATATTACACAATTAGCTTAATAGTATTCAAAAGACAAAAATACCCTTAAATAAATAAAACAATTACAAATTATGGTTTTATTAAAAAGACAATACTACTTTTTTACTTAACAAATAAAAATCAAACACCCATGCATAAAATTACAAATTCAGTTCAAATACAAATAAAAACTCTAATCTTCTTCACTCTGGAAATCTAAAAAATATCGATAGCAGAAGGAAAAAATTGTTTTCTGTCAATTACTACGAATCGGTAAGTATATTTTCGTATGTTTAATTTCGTTATACTGAAATGTGTATGTTTTTTAATTGATTAATTAAGATTCGACATACGTAGAAGCAGAAGAAATTTTTTAGTAGATCTGTATAATATTTTTAAGTGAATGGGAAAAAAAATTCATCTGCATAATTTTCCGACTTAACGTTGAGAAAACAACGGGCGAAATAGCCTGTTAATAGCGAAATCACCTGTTAACACGCGAAGGCAAAAATTCGTCTGTTAACAGGAGAATTTTCACCTGTTAACCACTATTTTGTTTTTTTTAGTTTCTGTTCCCAATTTAATCCGAATTTTCGCATATTCGTTTACAAATTCTATTTTGCCATGCACAGAT